GAAGAAGAAGAAAGAAGAAGAAAATTATTTCATTGGGAGATGCTAAAAACACCATGTGGGGACTATGGGAGGAACAAAAGAAACAGTGCTCTCTGAAACCAACTAGCCCTGTGATACACAATCCTGCAGGAATTCAGGACACTAAGAGTGCTAACAATGGACAAATTCTCAGAGGGTTTTCTCTTGAGAGATGAGAAAGCTGAGTACTTGTACACTGACTCCAATCAATCATTGGTTACTAATGCTCAGTGCTTTGGACATGCCAACCCCAGGCAACAAAGTCTCTTGAAGTTCTAGAAAGAAACTGTTGGTAGAGAAATACAGATGATAAAGGTCAGAAGTTGACTGGACTACATTTATTTGTTGGGCTCATGGGAGATGAGTAGTACAAAGAGCACCTACTATAGATAATAATAAGCTTACCATTCATTAGGGGCTACAAGGGTGAGGCATTTATGTAGGCATATGACATACATTATTAATAGTCATCATGACAACATTTATCAGGTTCTATTATTTCTATTTGAGAAGTGAGGAAACAGGTTCAATGAGAGTAAGCTGTTTAAGTCCACACAAATAAATGGCTGTATTTTAAACTCAAGGATATCCAACCTCTAACTCCACAGTTCTTCTAGACTATAGTCACATTTTATCCACCTGTTTACTCATTCAGAAAGTAGAAAGTGTCCAATGTGTCTAAGTGTTAGAAAGAGAAATGACAAAGACTAATTGTCTGCTTTTAAGCAGCTCACAGTTTATTAAAGGAATATACGTACATTCAAAAATACGTGAAACAACTAGGTTAGGAGTAGTTAGAGAAAAGGAACAAAAAAGTACAAGAAGGAAGATCAGAGAAAGAAATTCCACTGTGTGATGTGGCATCATTGCGCCACCACAATTAAACAGCACTAAGGGCCTGAGTGACTGTGGAGGTCTCTGATGTGGCTTCCTAGACTCAAGCTCTTTTTCTCACATTACAATTAGAGTTATCGGGCTGGGGTGATGGTTCAGTGGAATAAGCGTTTCCCTGGCAAGTGCAAGGGCCTGAGTTCAATCCCCAGTTCCATCAAAAAAAAAAATTAGTTATCATTTCAAATATAAATATAATTGCATCAGTGCCCTTCTTGATATCATCTACTGACTTTCCATCATGGAATAAAATGAAAATGTCTTACAGTAGAACAAAAGCAATTCAGGAGTAAACCGTGTCCTTCAAAGAGTTATATCACTAGCCTGCCACCCTGGACTCAAGTCTGCCTAAAGCCTGCCAAAATGGATTCAGTGACTTTCCACCTACATATAATTATACTAGGTGAACTTCAGTCTATATTATGCCTCATCTTGTATTTTCAAATTTATCTTTAACATCACTACCTTTGTAGAGTGTTGGACTGGAAGGGACATGACTTTAAGGTCTAACTGAATTGGGTAAAAACACAGGCTATCCTACGTTAAAGGTTTACCCTGGAATATATTCTTAATGTTTATTGTTTCCTTGGTATGAGAAACTGAAAGAGGAAATAAGAGTCTAAAATGTACAATAGATGTTGAGAAATGGGAAGAAGTGGTTCAAAAGGAAAAAATGAGTTAAGGGGAAAGGAGAAGGGAAGAAGGGAAAAGAGAGAAAAGTGCAAATCACCTATATGATTAGTGTCTTTTAGTTCATTGAAAAGGCCAGTTTGGAGGTGGGTAGATAGCTCAGTGACACAGCACCCGCCTTGTAAGCACAAGGTCCTGAGTTCAATTCCCAGTAACAAAACAAAACAAAACAAAACAGAAGAAGAAAACAAAAGAAAAGAAAAAAAAGAAAGAAAGAAAAAAGAGGAAGCTTTGTTCTAATTTCAACTGGAGAAATTTTTATGCCCATATCTTGTACTTTGAGCAACTACTTCAAAGATAACAACATGCTATATACTATAGTTGTTCTACTATTTTGTTATGAAACTGTTTTATCTTTTTTCCATAAAGTCAAAAAGATGAAAATAACATTGGAGATAGAAAACTATCATTATTAAATGAATTCAATGCCAATTCACAATTGGATTAAAAATAGGGGGAATTTTAGAAGCTCATTTAGAAGAAAGCAATACAGTATGTTACCACAAATGATGAAACACTTTCAGGACTAAGGATATAAGTGTATGATTAAAGCATATGTGTACAATTTTGTTTAAAAGTCAAAGACCAAAAATTAATCACACAATGAAATGTTTCTAAATTCACAGTAAAAATAAAATTATTAGTATTAAAAGAAAAATATACATATATATTTAATATATAATAAAGTATTTTATATACATATGTTATAAAATAAAGACCTTTGCTATGATAGGGGTAAGATATTCCACCTATGCAAAAAGTACTCTTTCACATTTTTAATTCTCACAATTTCACTACCTAAGTTTTCTTCTTTAGCTTTGAGACTGCCTTAGCAAAAAATGCTACTTCACAGTACTGCTGCTTACTGGTGGTCTCAAGTTATGCATGACTGCACTGCAGCTGAGGTGGGGATAAGAGGTATGAGGGTTTCAGGAGACTAAAATGGATGTAGCAGCTTCAGAACAGGGTGTGAAAAGCAGCTGTCTGCCCTAGTGATGGAGTGGAAAGGAAAGGATTGAGCTCTGTACCTGTGGAACTCTTGCCTGAGCTCCAGTTGCTGCCACTCTGACTTACATTTCTCCCTCACTCACCAAAGGGTCCAGATAACTTTTCTCCTGTTACTGGCACTCTTCTTTCAAGAGCTTGAGAAACATTTTTAGGTTTCACCATGTTCTTCCATGGAGAAATATCTATCACGCTTCTTCAGGCAGAAGGCTCCTCCAGGACTTCCATTAAATGCAAGAAGTGCCCCTCATGGTAAGCTACACCCTGTGACTCCCAAGGCCTGCCCTAGTCAAGTCTTTTGGGATGGTTTGATTCCCAGCAAGTCTACAACATTATCATTTGCAAAAACAATCCCTCAAATACCAACTGAGAGATATACAAACGTTGCTTTTCTTAGGAAGACAAGACAGATTTAACCACCCTCCTTATCAAAATAGCAGTTGAGCACTAGCGATATGGAAGACAAGCTCTTTCTGCAGAGGCAACAGCACTACTTGACAAAGCATTTGGTCAGAGGCTTGTATATTCAAAGTCCATTGTGTTGGGTCTGCACATCTGCATTCAAATCCTGCATTTCCACCACTCCCTGGGGATATCAATTTGTGTTAAATACTTTAACCTTTCTGTGCTTCATTTTCCTAATTTTCATCAAAATGAAACATTGAGTTGACATGAGTAAAATGTTTTAGGTATGTGAAGAACATGACTTGGCACATACAGCCTCAGACAGTGTCAGCTACTGTGTTGTTATCACTACCATCCTTATTCCTAATCACAGATGGTATTGTCTTCTAAATGTCTACTTTGCTGTGGATGTGTCATGACATGGATGTTAGAGAGGACTTTTGTTCTCCCTTCACCTTATTTTACATACTATTACCCTTTTTCACTTCAGATATCCTGAAGATACACAAAGTCAACTGCTTGAATGTGCTCCTGAGTTTCTCAGTATTCATTCCTGACTTCCACCAGTGTTAACAACCATGTACGCCTACCGGAAGTCTCTGGAAATTCTGAACATCTCCAAGGGCTATATGAGAAGACTGAAGCAGGAAAGTGTTCATCTCTTTTGTCACCACAAAGCTCACATTGAAGCCTAGGTTAAATGCTAAGAGGAAGGAAACAAAACATAAATCTGGAAGAGAAAAGTTGATAGGGAGGAGGTAGAGCAAGGAGCATTCTATCCTCTCTAAAGAGGTTCGATTTCATCTTTAAAATATTTCTCAGCCTAAAATGTTCAATTAGAAATGAGTCTGTCTTTGTCCTTACTATTAGTAACCTGCACTAATACCACCTTCAGCCTGAGATCTACAACTGGGATTTTTAAAATATTCAGAGATGGGCTTCCATGAAGGAAATGCTTGGGAGCTGCTTCTCAGCACGAGTTACCTGCACTCTGGCCTCAGTGAGGTTCACCCGGCGGGCAAGGTCTTCTCTCACAAATGCATCAGGGTAGTGTGTCCGCTCAAAGACACGCTCCAAAGCCTGTAGCTGACTGCTGTTGAATGTTGTCCTGTTTCTTCGTTGCTTTCTCTTCTTTTTCTCCTCTGAGTTCAGCTGATCATCTGGGGTAGAAGAAATAAATAAGGAGCCAACTCACTTTAGAGGCACAACTGAACACTTTTTTTTTTTTGCAATAATCTGTAGTTGCTCACATCTATCTAAAGATGCACATATCTTTATCAAAGTACCACAGTCAAGGGTCACTTCTCTTGAGCACATACTGGGATCGATACTCATGAGTTCATATGCCCAGGAATTCTAATGATTGTTGCTTCTAAAAACAAGGCCAGACTGGAACCAACTGTCAGATATACATTACTTACATACTCCTTGAGGCCTGTACTGTCAAAAGAGCTAAAGGATAATATAGTTCTGTACATGTCCTCAGCATTTCAATTCTGGTAGCTATGTAGGATGGTGAGTAGACTGTTTTGTACCTTATATGTCTCAGACAATGTTATGTTCACTTGTATAGTTTCATAACAAAGCAGACCAACTATTTCCTGATCCCTTCTCCTCAATATATACCCATGAGCACAGTGCACAGTTACAAAGAAGAAACCAGTCAATCAAATCACAGGGTTTTCTGTTTTACTAGGTATTTTCCTTAAAGCAGTGAGTGATTCCTAACAGTGCTTACTCTAGGTTCACTGCTGTAGATAAAGTAGGCTTCAGGGGCTCTTGTTTAGTTCAGGGCTTGTGCTACAGCACCATCAACTCAAGCTAACATTGATTTGAAACTCCCCCTATAAGAACCCAAGAACAACAAACAAAATGCTGAGATCTCTAAAACAGTTTCACTCAAACTTCAGTTTTAAGGTCCTGACAACTTAGGGACCTTTAGAGAATCACAATCCTAAGTTTTTAACCTGTCAGAATCCCTCTCTTTTGCTCTGAGTTCTCTTGAAGACATTTTGGCAAGTTAATCATTCAGCCGGCCCATGGCAGCCAGGCTGTCACAGAGTAACCTGCCCCTGTCCTGCCCCAGACAAGAGTGATGGATTGTGAGGCTGAGTGGAATACCAGCTGTGCTAACACTGTCACCAAATCATCACGGAAGGCTAGAGCTGCCCCAGAGCCTATGTAGCTTGCAGAGATTTACAGCAATAAGCTGTATAGGCACACGGCAGAGGGCTGATCTGATGAACTGAGCTTACATTTCCAATAGTTTCTCCCCAAAGAGGTTTAGACCAAACAAAATTGTAAGTTATTGAAGTGAGGATGTGGGGAGGAGAACCTGGGCTTTTGCTATGTATTCAAAAGAAAGTAGCTCTTGGGTTTTTATTTCTAATACAGACTGCAGAGAATCTTCTAATCTTTAGATTGGAGTCTTTCTAATCTGTGATTGTAAATGAACACAAAACACACTCAACAAAGGTAGCACAAAGTAGGATATCCTAAGAATAACACCTACCTTAACTGTAATATTAAAAATAAGAACTTGTCCTAGGTTTATGTGTGAATTCAAATATATCCAGAAACATGTTGGCCAGATCTCTGGGTGCTTGCTGGCTAAGATCAGAGTCTTTCTGTTCAAGGCCCCTTCCTCCTCAGCCCTGCCATGCCAAGAACACCCAGGGAGCTCAGGACAGAAACAGCACATTTGCTCCTGGTAATTAAGCCACCAAGATACAATAAGTGCCCACTGAGTTTGTTTTCACAGGAAACACAAACCTTCTCCTGTCTCTAGAAGACTTTCTGTAGAACAATGTATTTCGCCAGCCAAGAAGCTGCTGTCAATGACTCGCTCTCCTCTGTGGCTGTGCTCAATGGATCGCCTCTCTGATTTTTCGCACCTTTTGTTTCTCTTCTAGGACCCCTGCTTTGATGGCACTTCTATCCATCCTCAGTAAAAATGTCACATCATCCACATCTTGAGAGCGAAGCCAATTTAATGATTTCTGAAATCTCTCCAGACCCAAAATATTCCAAACCACATCACTATTCAGTTATTAGCAAAATCAATCTCAATAATATCTACACCAGACCATTTTGTAGTGAATATATATATATATATATATCTGTATATACAAAAGTTAGCATAGATATACAGCTACTTTTTCTTAGTTCAATGAGAAGAAAGATTTGTACTAATAGTGTTTAGACAAGACATCACGTCTGCCGAAATTATAAGAAATAAAGCCATGCTGTTAAGTTGAGCTGTGGGGGACTCAGGTCAATAATTTCTGACATTGCCAGTTAAACAGAAGACCCAATGCTATTATGGGCTACTGGACTCTTTTAGAATATTTTGCTGAGTTTACACACCTATAATATTCAATAACGGAACTTAGGAAAAATGGGGTATGCCTATGAATGTCCATTTTGTATCTGTGTATTCAAAGTGGTTAGGATAGATATATAGTTACATTCTGTTAATGAATAGAATGATTTGTTCTAATGGTGTTTGTAAGTAGGATCACAAGTCCGCATCTTGTACAGCAATTAACCACTAAGAAGAATATATGCAGTGTATTATTTGTTGAAAAATAAAAAAATACAAAAAAAAAACAAAAAAAATTAAAAAAAGACATCACATCTGCATCTTGTACTCTGAATACTTACTATTAAGATAATAATATACAATGTATTAATTATTGTAACTATCCTACTAACCTTGTTTGAAACTGTCTCAGTTGCTATTTCTTTCCCATTAAAATTAATAAAAATAATATCTACACCAGAATTTAAACACCCAGGGTTAAGTACTACCTTTTAGTAGTTGCCTTACATTTATATTTTCCTCCCTATTTAAATGCTTGGAAGCATTTATCTTCTTTCAGTTTTCTTTTCTGAATCTCTTTTATCAATACTTCTTCATGGCTTGCACTTTAGAGTTCCCAGGCTTTCCAGGATTTGAAGACAGCGCCATAGCCAGAATTTCTTATTCCCATTAAACAGAAAATTTTTAAAATAATTTTTAACTTCCATATTTTCATCAAACTAAAACTATTTACAACCCCAGGTTATTACTTTTGATCAGATAAAGGAAATCCTTTATTAAGCCAATCTTATGATTTGTTCACTTCTCTCAAAGAAAATTCTTTCTCAGATACAACCATAAATTCTAAATACTTTATGCCATTTTATAAGCCTATTTCTTCTTGGCAGGCAAACTATGATCAAGACCAAGAATATTTCATATCCTGTTCTTAGTACTACAACCTGCTACACAATCACTTAGTAGTTTTTTTTTTAATCGTTCACTGTTCATTGTAATTCCTCTGACAGTCCACCACAAGCCACCAACTCCCCTGATGTGGGAATAGGGGAAATAAAGAATTATAGTTTATGACAGGGAATAAATAGCAGTGATGATCTGAAACGGTTCCAGAAAAAGTTTCCCAGTGAATGTTCTTGTTGTTTTTAACAAATGAAAACATCAGTCCAGATCATGTGGAAGGTGAGAAGACACTCAAATAACAGGAGGTCTCCAGAGACTGGATCTGGCAAGTGTCCTTCAAAGTACAAGTGTAATAGAAAGAGACAATGAGTGGGCAACAGAGACAGCTTGAGCGACAGCCCTCTGCTTGTCTGCCTTTGCTCACAAATCACACACTACGAGTTCCCTGTTTTCCCTTGAACACCAAAGAACAGGACCCAGCTCAGTATCTTCAGCAGTATAAACACTGTGAAAGTTCGCTAATGCAGGGCATCTGAAAGACCTACAGTAAACATATTTATCAGATTCTGGGCCCTGGTTGAACACAAGAGAAAGAAAACAGTGTACTTTTATCATTGCAGGAAGGCCATTATTCTTATTAAAAGAGCTACAGTAACACTTGATTTTGAAACATGCTGTCCAAGGACACTATGTCTAATCAGATAATAGGCTGCATGTTATCCTTTGTTATTCTGAACTGGTTAGGACTCATCAATCTGAAGAACAATTATGTATTATGAATGCATTTGTATTAAAACCATAGTACTTCATCTAAGGTACATATTTTATAATTATATTAGCTTAAATAAATGGCAAATCTGCAGTTGTTGCCACTTTTTTAGTAAAAGCACACAAATGACCTTATGACCAGGTATAGTCTCATTTTTAATCATGAGTCATAAAATGTTAGCATTAAACAGGACCCAGTACATTGTTATCTAATCCAACCCTTTACTTTTATAAATGAGGTAAATGAGACCTAGAAGGATAATGTGATTTGCTTGACAGTGAAAGCATGGAAATTCTAGCCAGAGTTAAAGGTAGACCATCTAATTCTACTTTATTCTTAAGAGCAAATGACAATGTCTATGCCATCTATGAAACAAACAATAATGAATGAGAAAAATAAGTAGGATCCACAACCCAAGGAAAATATTTATGGGAAAGTCATATTTTTCCATACTAGGTACTATAAAGGGGACCTAAGAAAGAAGGCTGATGTATATCACGTCATTCCCACTAGAATAACCAATAAAAATACATCAGTCTTCATCTCTTTTGATCCAAATGTTCCTGCATTTTCTTTTCAATAGCCCCCATAAATATGTGTGGAGTTACTTCAGTACAGTAGTATACCCCGTCTTTCACCTTCTCCCCACTACTCTGATGCTACTCTTCCACTTTAAGATATAGTTCAAAATTGTTTCCCAAGACACAGCTCAAACTGTGCCTCCTCTATCAATCTTTGCTGATAACTCCAGTCCACATCGATCTTTCCCTGCTCCAATATGTGTGTCTGGTTATCTTATCAAATACTTTTTAAAATTGTGGTTCAATTCTTTCTATGTAAATTTCTTGTCAGCTTAATGTATTCAGATATTCTAATAGGAAAAGAACAGTTTCTTGAAAAATTAAGTTACAATAAAAGTTGGAAGAGTTAGAGGTAGAAAGCCCAGTTTTGTAGTATAGCAGAAATCCCACAATATCACAGCTTTAGTGCTTCGCTAAAGTCATGAAGAGCTGAGTAATTTCTGAACTCCAATTATTTTTAATAATGAAAAATAAGTAATTATGTAATTTTAAATAAGTAATTTTTTCTTGGCTAACTTAAGCTTCAGAGAAGAAAACATTTTCAGTGTTTCTTTCTCAGATAGGTTGGTTCTCATATTTAAAGAGAGG